GACAGAGAACACACACCAAGGGCTGAAGCCTGGATTGCCTTCTTTCCTAGGTGGTTCTTGAGAATTTGTCAGGTCATGTGCCAAAGCTCAGTTCCTTCATCTCTGGCAGGAGAACCTCATGAGCAAAGTTTCAGATTTCAGATGAGATGTCACAGCTTTCAAGCATCAGCATTTCTCTACCTAATGGCTCCTTCCTTTGGCTGCTCTTCTCTTTAAGAACCATCAGCACTTCAAAGACTGTTGGGAAACTTATTAAAAACTATGTGGACTCCTGAGGGCAGGTGTGTGTATCATTATCTTCAACCCTCCAGTGCCTAGGATTATGAAACCACCTCAAACAGGGACGTCAAGAAGACACACATGCATATCTGCATGCTTTGCTAGCCTCCACAAACACCTTTTTAATGCACTATTTGTACTCAAGACAATAGTCACAGTTAAGAACAGCAGTCTTAAGATTGAACAGAAAATGGTAAATAATCATTATCTTTTCTTCATGGTGGATATTAATTAGTTGATGCATATTAGCTACCACAAGTGTACATACATTTCTTTCTTTTTTTAAATTGAAATATAGTTGACATACAATATTATGTTGTGTACTAATTAATAACTTTACATTTGCATATAAAATGATCACCATAAGTCTAGCAACCATCTGTCCCTATACAAAGTTATCACAATATTATTGGCCATATTCCTTATGCTGTATATTACATCCCCACAGCTTTTTTATTTTATAACTTAACCTTTTAAGGTTAAGTTATAAAATAAACTTAACCTTTTCCCACCCACCATGCCCCCCAGCAACCATCCGTTTGTTCTCTATATCTTTGAGTTTGCGTTTTGTTTTGTATTTTTAGATTCCACATATAAGTGAGATCATATGGTATTTGTCTTTCTCTGACTTATTTCACTTAGCATAATACCCCCTAGATCCAACTATGTTGTCACATACATTTACGACTTGAGATTCAGATGTTCACTTGCTTTATATTGAACTATGCTAGAGTTTAGTTTTGAACCTCAGAGCTTAAACCCTGTGCATTATAAAATTTGCTCCTATAGATAATGTAGAGAGGCATATATAACCATACTACATACTAATCGTCAAAGTACAGTTCTTTCTTAGGTCCAGATACATTATAAATTGCTTCATGTCTATAGCCTTGCGTAAAGGCCATAAGAGATCCAGTACTCCAGACCATACTGCAACATAAAAGCCAAGTGATATTAGAAGGTGCCAACTTCATTTTAAGTAAAGATTCAAAAAGCAGAGAGACTGGCAAAAGTATAACAGTACTGAGCAATAACGTGTGTATGTATAATACATATACATATGTATACATAAAAATTCTAAATATATATAACTATCCCTCAGTGGAATCATGAATTAATCTTTCAACACAGATAGTAGTAAAATATTTTTAATAAAACCCTTGTCAGAATGAAATAGTTTTGTAAGCTGCAAGAGTTTAGTATAATAATAAATGCTACATTAATGAGGTTAGTTATTTCAGCACATTTAACACCATGTAGAGCGGCAACATTCAGTCATTTGTGAGAAAGATCCTGCTACTCACTTCCTGGAATGCATTCATTTGTATCTGGTTCCTGATCTGCTTTTTGATCTACTCAGAAGAGCAACATTGAGAATAAATACCATTTTAACAGAAAGATGAAAGAGACACGAAAATAAAGCTCAAATGTCAGTTTCACTACTAAGACTGCAGAATACATCTGACAGTTTTTCAGCTTGCTTTCCTCCATTCCCCAGTGCAATTCTTCATTAGCCTCTTTGAGGTCTCCTGTTCAAGTAAATATCCAACATCCAGCACAGGAGATGTGCAGTGTCTTTCCTCTCACTCAATAAGCCACAGCATGGAAAATGGAACGAGCACTGTACTAGGAGTGGTGAAGCTGAGATGCCCGTCCGCACCCTCCCACTGACTGACTAGCTACAAGAGCTTAGACAGATCACCTAATTTCTCTGAGCTTTTCTCATCTGTAAAATGCAGATAAAAATCACTGCCCCACCTACTTCAGTGAGGAGGTTGTAAACATAAAATGAGAAAGACAAAACGATTACATAAAAGTAAGGAATGACCTTTGAAGAGCTCTGTTGCTGCATTTTACATGAGAAAGCTCAGTTAATATACATTTTTATCATTATAGTGCAGGCAACTTAGAAAACAAAATTCTAGCATACAAGTATAAATTATATTTATGTTTGCATAAATGCTGAACCATAAAAATCAGACTCATTTCCATCCCTCCCACCACTATTACCCTATTCATTTTATAACTGAACCAAGTAACACCTGATCCATTGACAAGCTGCAAGACCTTCTGGCTCCTAAAAATTCAGAATCAGTTAATTTCACCCTTGGTCTATACTTAGTTATTTACTTGAGCAGAGGCAGGATCCCCACTCTTGTTCTGGGACCCTTTCCTTTGACCTTAAATCTTTACCAGTTATACCTAGAGAGATCTAAATGCTGAGACTTGAGAATCAAATATAGGAATAACTTAACCCAGGAACCCACTCCACTCTCCCTGCCTTCACAAGGAGTTTTGCAAGTCAGAGTAGCAAAAATCTGTTCATACCCATAGAAATAAAATTTCCTATTTTTAGAAACCCTCGCTTCCCAAGGGTCTCTGATGAGATCCTCACAACAGTATCACCAGCAGAAACCTTAAGAATACAAGCAGTATTAAATGCACCAAGTCAGAACCATTTTATAATAACTTAGGCACAATTCATCACATAGCAGCAAATGACGTTCTTCTATTTCTCTAACAGCTGCATCCCGGTGACTGCCCAAACCATCCCAGAACCTAATACACAGACAGACATGCAAATACATAAAGATATTTACCATCTTCAGCACTACGCACTAATTCTTCTGGCAGATTATCTACTTTTGCTTGATCTGTGCAGGAGAAATTAACAAATGGTTAAAACGACTGACCCTTGCCGAGAAAGAACAGTGAGATTGTCCCTGGAAGCCCCCGGAGTTGGAAGCAATTAGTCAAGATGCGGTGAGGGGTGCAACCAAGATGTCTTCCCCAAAATACTTTCTCTTTAGATTAGCTAGTTGAGCCAGTGCCATAGCGGGAGCTCCCATTTCAGCCCCGATGCAGCTTACATCAGCACACTGCTGCACACGGACTCCCAAGGGTTAGAGGGTTAGCTCAGAGCAAGCAATCGGCTGGCAGCAGGAGAAAGCACAGGGCTGCAACAGCCTCTTTATTCTTCTGGAAAGGGTAAGATGCTAGCCATGACTAACACCTTCTCAAACCCACGGTCATTAACAAATATTTCTGTGCGTGCATCATCATTTGTGTATGCCTCTGGGAGCCTTGCTTGGGAAGTCAACTGAAGAGATGTAACTGGGGACCAGCTGCTAAGTGGAATCTTGGCAGGCTCGTGTGAGAGTGGGTATCGGTATTTGGAAAGGAGCATGCAGGAATACCCGTCAGCTGATGGTGTTTTTTATTTTAACTCTATGCATTCCTGAGTACTTTAAAGCTGCACCATGGAAATAGCCACATGCTTCTTAGGCAAGAGGTCTGCCAAATTGGACAATTGTTGCTGAGTTTTGGGGTTTTTTTTTTTCCCCTCAGGGCCCATCACTAACATCAGGAAGAACAATCAGGGCTGTCCAACAAAGGACTGGACTCGCCTTCTCTGGAAGCATTCAGGCGGATGTGGGGGGTTGGCCACCTGTTAAGGGGGCTTTAGAGGGAATTCCTGCACTGGGGGGAGTTTGGAATGGGTGACCTTCAAGGTCCCTTCCAACCCTGAGATTCCAAGATCTTTGGTAGGGTGAGGACTGCATTCCAAACTGGGACTCTATTGCCCCCAGAGCCCTGAAAATCTCTGAATTTTAAGAATTGTTTAGTGGCATAGTTTTTTAAAATCTGAGTTTTCAGTCTCAATTGCAGATGCGTAAAAATATTCTAAACATGACAATGGTCAATTTTAATCATATGAGTTTGGCAGTGGTTAACTTGCACTCAGTAAGTTTTCGCATGACCATCTGTAATCCCAGGGGTGCATTTTAGCTTAAAAATATTAAGAACAAACCCCCAAGATGTCACAATCTCTAAGGCCCTATATACATTATGCTGTATGTTAGTACTCTAGAAATCCTTCACCAGTTAAAGCAGCAGCCAGTGGGGAATAGTGTGCCTGAAGTGTTGCATGTCAGATAGCCTTTGGGCTTATAATTCCACTATCCAAAAGAAATGCATGAAAAGGGATAAAAGAAGAAGCGAAGTCCTTGAAGCCAGGGACTAATTCATCTCTATATCATGCAAAAATTCATCAGCCATCCAACACTGTCATATGTAACACGGTCTCTTCATAAATGCTCTTGTTAATAGCCTGTTGATTTTGAGTCCCAGCTCTGCTGTATGATAGGAAGCAAACTACTTTACCTCTGTGAACTTCACTTTCCTCATCTGTAAAATGGGAGTAACAATTTGTCCCTCACAGGGTTGCCTATGCCAGTTAAACGGGAAAATGCATGTAAAACACTTAGCCAAGTCCTGGCACACAGTGTTCAATCAATGTTAGCTATTACCACTAGAACCACTAGCTACCACAGTCTTTTAAAACTCACTGTACTTGAATAAACACTCAAACTGGGATTCTTCAAGGAAACCTAGTATTCTAGTAACCAAACCTCACGCGTTATTTTAAAAGCAAAGTTCCAGCCACTTTAGGCTGAGCCTGTTCAGCTCACTTGGGAAAAGTTATTCTCATCTGTTAACCCCCCTTTAGGGTTTTCAGTGCACAACAGCATGCAGTGAGGCCACAGAAGAGCACATACGCATTTTTAAGCTGAGATGGGGGCATGAACAGTGGGGCAAACTTTATTCTCACTTGATGAATCTGATGCAACATCTTCTAGACTTTTGGAAGGCATTTTCCTAGCAGCACTCCTTTCCAAAGTTTTCAAAACAGGACTGGGTTCTTCTCCTGAACCTGTTGCAAGACAAAACCGATGAATACTGCACAAAAGAAAAAAGAAAACAACCAAACTCTTAATAATCAACGGACACTGAAATGGTAGGTTGAAAGGAGGCATTATGCCGTAAGCCTCGATACTTTTATTCACGCTATGAAGCACTCCAACAGAAGAAAATAAAATTTCTCCACTAAAGAATATTAGTATATTCTTTAACTAACTTTCCTGGTCAAGAAATATTTGTAAGCATAAATGATACAGAAACAAGATTAACAAGATTCCCACATTAATAGAAATGTGCTCTCTTAGTCTTTTACACCTCTATTTTAGGCACATGATTTGTTCTGTGCCAGACTTTGAATCTTTCCCCTTCACTTCTAGCTTTTGAAGACAGCCACAAAATGGTTTTACGAGCATTAAAATAATTAGCTGAAAACCATAGAAGGCAGGATTCAGATGTTTTAACATCTGTGTATAATTGGGTACACAGATGGGTGAATTCTCCAGATCAACAAATGTAGGCTTTTTGGGTTTCATGAACTGGTGAAATTTCCAACAAAATGTTGGGTAATGACATGAGGTAGTCAACTTTTTATTTTACTAAGGCATTTGTGTGTGTGTGGGGGGGGGAGGTCTCTATTATCTACTAATGCCTTTATTTTATAAAAGGAAAGGCATTTTAGGACCACAAGGGAAAAAAAGAAAGGAAGAAAAAGCGCATAACCGGAGAATAAGAACAGTTCTTTAAATACATCTAATTTTATAAAAGTTTTTCTCTAGATAGTCCTTAATTGTTCCATTTTGACAGTGGAAACTCCATCATGGATAAGCCCTGGTCTGAGTACTCTCATTCATCACTGTTGTAGTCTCAGTGACTAGAACAGTGGCTGGCAACAGGCACTTCGAAAATGTTTGCTAAATCAACAAATGATTCCATTAATGAGTCGATGAATTTGGGAACTACTTCTCTAGACAATACTTTCCTGAAATGCATTCCAGTTCTGCCCGATGTTAATAGGCATTCTCCAGTAAATGGATCCTAAGATGAATTAGATTTGGGACGCTCTGTGTTCAAACTTAAATGGTTTCTTACTGCAGACCTTCTCAGTGACTTTAATATGCTTTAGTGTACTAATCATGTGCACGATCTCCCAGCATTCCCTCCCCCTTTTTAAAGGAACATACTGAGGTATTGGTTGGTTAAGAGCTCAGCCACAAGTCAAACATGTTAGGCTGCTCATCAAAATTATGGTGCCTTGTTGTCAGGTTCTTCCCTACTCTCACTCCACCCCCACCCATTTATTTAAAAAATAATAATTCAGGTTAGAAGATACAAAACTATGTACTATTTTATACCTCCTACTTGGCTTATAATTTTAAAATATCTTCTCTGGGCTCTGTCTGTCTGTGTGGTTATTTATATTGATTATTTCTTTTTTAGATAGGCTTTTTTGCTGTTCAATCAGTTATGCTGGTATACTTTAACACAGCTATAAACATTAAGCAATAGTCTGTAAAGTAAGTGCAAATTTACAAGCCCTTCACCTCCTATAGGTCAATTTGGCCTAGTAACTCATGGGGTAGCTTAGTAAAAGTCTACTTCAACAAGTTTAAGATGTTGCCTTAACACTCTTGCATATGTCTGGTTTGAGAGACTGGTATTTCATTTTCCTTTTCTCACCAGTTATAAATGTTAAAGGGGCTTCAGCTTGATTACTTAGGATTAAAGGTGGATTCTTTGGTCAGTTTTCAATAATAGGCCCTACAGCTACTTGCAAAGGAGCCCAAACCTCACAAATCAGCCACTCAGTAAAGCTCATTTGTTCTCATTGAGACTGAAGGGAGCCAGAAAATGACAAATTCTATTAATTTTCTACTAAGGAAGGTGATCAACATTAGTCGTTGTGCAATTTTGGTTAAAATGTTCCAGCCAGAGAGCATCCTTTATCGTTTCATCATTCTCATCAGCTAACTTCTAATCCCTATTTGTTCCTGGGTTTCTCTCCCAAAATAGCCAGGTTGCTCAGAATAGCAAACTGAGACAAGCCCTATCTTTTATAGCCTGGCAGAAACCAGAAGCCCAAGTCCACTTAGGTGAATATGGTAATTGATTAAGATCTCCATCCACTTAGCTAAGGCTGGAGCCAAAGAAATGCAGCAGGCCAGGCAATGCCCTTATAGGTGGAATCAGGTGAGGTCATCAGACTGAGGCATACCCTAGAAGGGGAGGATCCTGCAGATAACCGCAAACAAGAGGGAGAGAGTGGCAACAGAAACACCACAGCCCAAGGTATCTCAGGGAAACTTCCAGCCTTGCACTTTGTTCCTGGTACTTAGCCACTAATGTGGTAAACTACTGTCCTTAAAAGGGAAATGTGTGACCAGTATGGGAGTTTCTTGCCACAAATCTTACTAGAGACTCCTGTATGGACTGCCAATTACGAAATTCTAATTAGCTCCAAGAGAAAAGCACACTTGGATGTTTTAGAGGTACTCTCTAAACCCCAAAAGTTCTTTAAAAAATATTTTTGAAACCTAAAAATTCTATCACTGATCAGTGAGAATAAAGTCAGATTCTGAAACACTGCCTGATGGGTAAAGCTATCTCTATGTAACTCATCTGATTAAAGAAGATAAAAGGAAATGTAGTTTTTTATTAAGAAAATCTAGGGAGAACTGAAGTACAAGGAAGAATTTAGTACTATTTGGGATTGTCAAATTAACCCCAATTCTAAAAACTACACCATCCTTTATGTCAGCATTACATAAATCAACTCATTAACCAATCAGTTAAAAACCTCAAAATGCTCACTGGAGGTATTTCTGCAGCTTTCTGCCTTAGAACTGATGTTTCCATCTGAAATATCAGAGTCAGAGAAACCTTCTTTTTCTTCCTTTTTCTCTTGTCTCTTATATGGTGATGCCAGAATCAATTCAACTTTACTTATTTTTGTAGAGTTTTCTTTGTCTGTCAGGAGAGGAATGGGTTGCCTATTTCTGGGCACGTTCATTGCTTCAGGAGCCTCTTTGAAACCAAGCTCCTGAAAAGCCCCTTCTCAAACTACTGCAACCTCACTTTCATAATTCCTGTCCTCTGGGGGTTTTATAGTTTCAGTGGTCCCTATTTCATGGTCCACAGAAAGTTGTGAGGTTCCAGGGATCTCAACCCCACTTTCAAAACCACAGAGATCTATTGGTAAATCAGTCAGCTTTGTCTCTTCCCAACACTTTATCACATTGCCTGACCTGAGATTTGAAAACATTACTCTTAAGTTTCATTTCCGAGGCCTTTGAGGCTGTCCAGTAAAAAGAGGGCACTTTCCCCAAGAACCTGGCCTGCTTTGACTGTGAAGGCTCCTTCTCAGGAGTTTCTTCCTTCACTGACACCTGGAGCTGATAAGAAGGACCGTTAGATGATTCTTTAAGGAGTTTCTCAAAGCCAATCTCAAAAGCACTCCCAGTAATTGATGGAGCCTCAGACTTTTCTGCTGTTTCTTTTATTTCCTTAGGATGGAATTCAGAAGCAGCCTGCCTGGGCACCTCAGTACTACCTATTAACTTTGATGAATAAAGAGTCCCTGTATCACTGTCATATTTTGAGCACGGGGTTTCAATTGTTTCCTTCAGTAGTTTTTCTAAGACAGCACTGAATTCAAGGAGCTCTGATTTAGGTTGAATAATTGTTTCCCTCACAGTTTCTGTCACTTCCTGAGATAACTCTTTGCCATCCTGAGCAACAGTAGAAGCAGATGAGCTAAGGGTTTGTTCTGATGGAGGCATTTGGGCAGCTAAATAAGATCCAACTTTATGAGTTTTATCAGGAACTACACTGAAGGAATACAAATCCTTTCTGTCTGGAACTATGCTGTCCATTGTAGTCTGTGATGGGATAACTCCCAGAGAATTTGAGGGGCTACCTTCTACCTGCACGCCTTCAGGAAATTCTGCTTTTACTTCTCCACAAACTACTTCCCTCCCAACTGGATAAGTCAACAAAGCTTCTCTAAGTAGCTTTTGTAATACAGCCTTTACATCATTCAGTGCAGGTTTGGGTAGAAGAAGAACTTTTTCTACAGTCTCAGAAATTCCCTTTGAGAAGGTAGTGCCTTATTCTGAGGAACAAGATGAGCATCCTTAGAAGAAGGCATACCTTGGGGAGTGTTGGCCACATCCCCAAAAGAACCCTTTCTGTGGTGATAGGAAGGTTGATCCAATGGGTTAGAACCTTCCGCAGCCATCTGAAACAAGTTCTCCGTGTTTAGCTGGCACTCACCGCTTTGAGCTTTCTGGGAGAGAGCTGAATTTCCCAAAGTTTCTGCCTCTGGAAAAGAAGCTAGTATCTCTCTCTGATAGGCTGATGTGTTCTGACTCCATTCTATCCCTTTTTCATAAACTCTACTCTCTTCAGACTCAGAGTCTACCCTAGTGGTTGCCGGTTCACATTTGGTTTGCGAGGGAGAGGGTGGAGGTCCAGTTGCTTCCTTCAGGAGTCTGTCTAGACTAGCAGTCAAAGTGTTCGAATTGACCTTTGGAGGAGCTACTGGTTTGTCTATATGCTCATTAATGATCTCCTTAGGTCTTTTGGCTTCTTCCTCGGTATCAGCAAAATCTGTCTTTCGAGGCCATGTCCTATGTTCAGAAATACCTGGTTCAAGCCCTTGTTTTTTATGAACTTTTCCACCAGAGGGCTGGATGACTGGTGATGAGGCTTCTGAAAGCAGCTTCTGTAAGCTGTCATTAAACGCGTCTCTGTAGTCTTTAGAGAAAACACTTGTTTTCACAAGGGATTCTTGAATCTCTTGAATCTCTCGGTCAGAGTAATCCTTGTCTTCCTTGAACACTGGAGTAACAAACCCTTCTGTATTTTTTCCCATGTTTTCCTTTGATGACTCATATCCTGGCAACTGATGAGTGGACTTTCTGGGTGGTCTCAATGGAAATGTGCTTTCATTTGGTAACACCTGGAGTGTGCCCTTTGAATTTAATTTCTCTATTTCCTCTCTTTCCGGAACTTTTTTCTGGCTTAGAAGCGTCTCTCTTTCATGGGTATTTTTTCCTGATGATTTAATGTCACTGAATTCTTCGCGTTTCTGGCTATTAAAAGGCACAGAATTTTTTTGGCTTGTGGTAGTATTCTTCTCAATATTATCTTGACTGTTTGGATTGGCTCCTAAGTCCCAAAACTTTCTCAAATTCTCAAATTGAGAGTGATTATAGACCTGTTCTGTATTGGGTTCATCCATTCTTTCTTTTAGGGATATAACTTTAAAGTTGGGATTCCATTCACCAATTAGAGATCTGTCTTTCTCCAAAGAGGTATGTATTTCACTCCCAACATTTGAAGGAAGTTGCAGTGGTGGAAGAGTAATGTCCTTTTCATAATGCAAACTGTCTGTCACTGGTAATCTTCTTATAGGCTCAGTTGTCTTACTCTGAAACAGAGACACTTTACCTGGTTGGCCAGCTGAAGGATCATTTTTGGATGGACCTGATATTTGGGGCCTGGTCTCTTTAGTTTTATTTGAGGAATAAAAATGGCAGAGATGGGCTGCTTGACCATCCTTATCTAGGACCACTTGTTTGGCAGTGACTTGATTATTATATTTACTACAGCCTGTAGATAAACTGTCCATGGACCTCACAGGCTGATATGCTTTAGCAGAAAGTCGTTCCTGACAAAATGAAGATGTCGGTTCTTTATGAGTTAAGTTAGCAGTAGCTTTCTCACCTTCCCAAAAGGATATTCTGTCACTCACTCTTTTGTATTTCTCTCTTTGCACTTGGTTTTGGGGAACCTCACCTGCTTCTTGTAGTTGGACCTTAGGCTCCTTCCAAGGAGATTTATTGTTGGTAGCCTCAGGGGGTGACTCAATAGTCTCTGATTCTGAAGAAGCTTTTAGGATGTAACTATCTCTTCCTTTGCTCTCTCTCTCTGCCTTCACGTTGTCTTTCAAACTCCATTGCTCGAAAACTGTTGAAGAGTCAAAATTCACTTCTGACTTTCTTCTATTTTTTTCATAAACACAAAGCTTGGGCTCTTCTTCACCTAAACTGTCAACATCCTTAGTGTTGCATGGAACTTGATCTTCTGCATGAGATCCTTTGCAAACACTGTAGGAGTAGTTATTGGTTGGAGGAAGTACCCCAATTCCTTCTCCTACGTTTTTTGAACCTTGGCTATAGTCCACAGTTTTACTCTCTTGATTTGGACTGGAGATTTCGAATGGTTGCAGTATGCCTGGACTTTCCTTGCCTTGTGGGGACAAATTAATAGATTTGGGTTTGATATTCACATTTTTGCCATTTCCAAAAGGCATATTTTCCTCTACCTGGAATGTTGAATCAGATCCCACAGGTGTCAATTCAACTTTGGTGGATAACAGAGCCTTTGAGCCATTTTCTTTTTGACTGGTATCACCTGTCACCAAGGCAACAGCAATCCGTGACTTTGAGTCTGTTTTTTCTTTGGGCTCTATTTCTTGGGAATATTCGAGAGATGATTTCTTGTCATCTGAATGAGAACTTCGGTTAAACCAGTCTAGGACTTTAGATATGGAATCATCGGTTGTCTTCCTCATCTCAGTGGCATGTGGACCAGAGCATGAGGACGTCTTAGCTTTTAGGGACTTGAGAAGAGGGGGCTTACCTTGCTGATGGTCTCTAGAACTGAGATGTGGCACCTGAGATGACTCAGGCTCAACGTGAGACAGTTCATCTGCAACATAGAAATGCTTTTCTAAATAAGAGAATGCTTAAAGAATTATTATTCAATCACTCACATTATCTTTTAAAAAGGCACTTTGTATTTACATTTTCTACACCATTAGCTGTTTATATCAGCATTTATCTGGAGTTATAATGTAAACCATCCTAATTAAGATATTCTACCAAAGATGCCCTATAACAGTAAAGGAAGGTAAACATAGGCCCCTGGAAGTATGGGATGTAAGCCGAATTGGGGAATTTCTTTCAAGTGTCTGTTTTATTCTAAAAGATCAAGTAGATTTTGTATTCTGACCCATGTTACATTTTAAACATTAATTTTTCTCAAAGCTTTGCATAAAATAGACACTCCAGGAAGATACATCATGTTGATTTTATGACACCACCTATCTACTGGCCCACTCATAAACCCTAGAGAGGGCTTATACTCAAGTTCGAGAAACACAGACTTAGGAGATTTCAGAAGTTAGAAAAACAACGTTCAAGAAAGATTAAACAAGGAGCTCCCTCCAAAACATCAGAATGGCACAAGAAGGATATTTGCATCCAAGGGCCTTACTCCTGGTATACTGAACCAGAATCTCTGAAGATGGGGCCCAGGAATCTTTCCTACCAGCTATCCCAGTGGTTGTTTTGCATACTTCAGTTTGAGGACCATGGTCTCAAGAGGCTCCTCCATGATCCCCTATTTCCCTTCTACAATCTGTAAGCTGGAGGTAGTCTCTGTGAGACAAAGTAAAATGAGGACTGATGGAGAATGGGATTTCTACCTGTTCCCTGATGTTTGCCAACCAATGGCTAGGAGGCTAGGGAAGGACACTTAAATTCTTTCTAGTCTACCAAGAAAGTAGGGAGAAATTATACTCCAATAAAGATGTTAAAAAAAAAAAAAGAAAAAAGAAAAAGTAGGGAGAGACCTTTCTGAGCTTTATTCACAGGGCACATGGCACATGTAGATGAGGGAACTCAGGCATTCTTTCCCTTTAGTTAAGACTAAAGGTGTTTCAGCATTTCTTGCTCTTCCTTATAAATGCTAAGCTACACAATACATGTTCTTGAAAATTACGTGAGCTGACTTTTTATGACATTAGCTACATCTGAAATGTACCAGAGATGTCAGTTAATAAAATTATCTCTTTGATTTTAATCATCAACTCTGGCTAAATGCTAAAACAACAAAGGCTTATACAATAATTGGCACATAGTGGATATTGGTTTCCTTTCATAACTACACATTATACTATTAAATATATGTCAGTAATGATAAAGTTCCTTTGAGAAATCTTTAAGAATTCTTTGTTAGTCTGTTTAACAGAAGACTAATAATGAAAAAAATGCTTGTACTACAGTTAGTGAAAAAAAAAGCAGTCTGGACAGTATAAACATAATTTAAATTATATCCATGCCTGAAAATTATTGGAAGGTCCTACAATTAAACATTAGTGATACTTAGTGCTGGGTGATATCACAGGTGATAATTGTTTTATTCTGTATGCATTTCTTCTTTTCAAATGTTTTTACACTTTTCAAATGAAAGTATATTACTTAAAAATAAGAAGAGTTTAAAAATTTGATGCCAGATAATGTTTTGTTTCCTTTGAGGAATTCTTTTGTTTTCTTCCAGTATAATATAATGAGTGTGATAATGACTGTCCTAAAGCTCAGAGCTAAAGTCAAACCCTTATAATTCACACAATTAGAGTTTACCATTCTTTTTTGGTCCTGATTTTCTTCTTATGCTCCATTATTTACTTGTATATATTTCTGTGGTAAGCAGGGGGGAAAGCAGGGCATTAATGAGTAAGCAGAACTCTGTATATAAGCTCTGAGACCAGAAGGCCTGTCTGTCAACCAAAATGGGTTTAGCTGATGACGGCTTCTCCCCAGACTTCACGGTGAGCTGAGATTGAGATTTAAAAATCAGAAAGCAAAAATAAATAGTTAATACAAAATTATAAAGGTAGTCTGTGGGAAAGCAGGTGCACTTTGAAAATCAGGAAAGGTTTACCATTTTTTTCCTATGGATTATAACAAAGGAAAATATTACCAAAGAAATATTTTTCATCTTTTGGATAAACATTTAAGTAAGCATCACCCAATTATTTGCTAGTGTTTATTCAAACTTTAGTAGTTTCCTTAAAATGAGTTCCTTTATATCTTGAAGAAGCTAATTTTTAATTTTTTTTAAAAAAAATATTCTCTTCTGTTCAAATGATTTAAAATACCCAGGGAGAGGGGTGATGGAAATGCTTTGTCCTTTAAGAAGTGGATTGAATTGAATAAGTATGAAAGTGTACGGCTGAGCAAAAATGACTCAGGGTCAACTTAGTATCGACTAATAAGGGAGGAGGAGAGTAAATGAGTTAGAAACTTGACTGTTGCTACTGTAAATTTTCCTGACTATAAAAATTATCATAGGGCTTCCCTGGTGGCGCAGTGGTTGAGAGTCCGCCTGCCGATGCAGGGGACGCAGGTTCGTGCCCCGGTCCGGGAAGATCCCACATGCCGCGGAGCGGCTGGGTCCGTGAGCCGTGGCCGCTG